TGTGTGTGTGTGTGTGTGTGTGTGTGTGTGTGTGTGTGTGTGTGTGTATACACACATCCACATACACACACACACTCTCTCCCACCATTTGTTTATTATAAAAGGAAGGTTACAGGCTGCTCATCTTCCTGAGCTGAGGGAGACCATGACTGGGGATCTAGAGGAGACCTGGGGACCTCTGGCAATGCAGCCTGGTATAGTATAGTGCAGGGAGTGGGACCCAGGGTGGTGTGATACAGTGCAGTGTAAGTTGGGTATTTGCAGAGGGAAGCAGGCAACATAGTGTGCAGCCCCAGGGACATGTGGCTGGAGATCTATGGCCCCTGGCTCCTCAGAAGTTGATGTAGGAGGTAAGGAAAGCAAGGGGTTAAGTGGGAGGGTATATCTGATGGATGTGGCAGGAGGTTCGGATTCAAGAGACTGTAATTCTACTCCAGGGGTGGGCAAAATGCAGTCTGCAGGCCAGTTGTGGCCCACCAGGCCATTCTATCTGGCCTGCTGGGCCCCTAAAAAATTTAGAAAATTTATATTTATATGCCCCTGGCTGCCTGTCATGCGGCCCTCGATGGCTTGCCACAACTCAATAAGTGGCCCTCCACCCAAAATAATTGCCTGCCCCTGTTCTACTCTGCCAGCCATTCCTTATATAACCTTGAGCAACTCGCATGCTCTCCTTGGCTTCAGATTCCTCATGTAAAATTAGTCTAGTAGCCTCGCAAAGATTGATGGGAAATTGAACTATTTTTGCTAATATGCACTTTGAGACACTCGGATGGTAAGTATTACATTTTACTACATGCCAAGAAAGTGTGAGGCATGACAGACTTTGTCACACTGCCTCCATTAGCCTCCACTGACCTGCTGGCAAAGGGCTGAGTGGATCTTGCTGGTTCACTGAGGTCTCTTCTCCTGCCCCTGCCTATGAAACAAGTAGGAGTAGCTCTCGAGCGGACATACAGTGAGGATGAAGCTGTTGTGAATTAGAAAGTCTGGAAAAACCAAAAGTGAAGAGAAGGCTTGAGCTGAATTTCATGTTAATTTCTGGGTTACTCTGAGTCCACACAGCAAAAGGACATGGCTTTAGGACAGGCTGAAAAAAACTCCTGCTTGCAGAATTCCACTCAGTTTCATAAATAATCTGGACTCCAGGCTATTTTGGCCAATTACAAGACCTTAACATTTATAAATCTATCTTTTGCTCTATAAGTAGCTTGCCTATGCATGGTGCGGTCAAAGGGGGGAAAGCACAGTGCTTCTTTTTCCAGAGGCCGCTTACCACAAGGATGAAATATTGCATAAATTAAAGGTAGACAATCTGTCAGTTTAGCAAACCAGGCAGCAGGACATTGCAGTAATCTAATCAGAAGGAGATAAGAAGCTGGATGAGCTTTTCAGTATCTGATATGGATAAACACCAGACCAAAGCCTAACAATGTTTTTAAAACAGTAACTAGACTCCTTTAGACAGTAGCAAAAATGATCATTCAACAGCCGAGGACAGTATTGACATAGGGTAGAAATTGTGCCCGTTGTTTTCGGAGTATAACCTGAATTCATTCTATCCATGTCCCAGCACCCATTAGATCCTTTTGGCAGCACATGATTAGCTGATTTAGCTAACACACAACTGTCATTTAAATTAGAGCTAACTGAATAATTCATATGGAATAATTTATTCCACAAATGCAAGACATTTTTTTCTGCTCATGCAATGCCTGTGAGCACATTGCAATTTCCTTGAATTCTTGTTCTTTACTAAGCACCTTTTTATGAATCCTTTCCAAGTTTCACTGTTTATAGTGCTTGATATCTGAAATCTGAGTTACTAGCTAATGGACACTGGTCACACACACCACATGGGGTTACTTGTGCTTCATGGCTATATGAGCATTTCTGTCACAGACCCCAGCTGAAAATCCACTGATGTCAACGTGAGTCTTTTTTTCTCCAGT